ACACACACACACACACACACACAAAACACCTGAGCTGCTCGTCAACTCCTCCTTTTAAGGTGGTCCTATTTTTTGTCTCTTCTTCTGCTTCGCTTCCGCTTCCGCTTCCGCCTCCTCTTCCTCTGCTTCTTTTCCCCCTGTTTATCTTCTTCTTCCTCTTCAGTTATTGTATGGTTGCTGACAAGTTTTGATTGTGGGTGGGAATTAATAAGTTTTTAAGCATGTTGTCTGTTCTTGTATTTTTATTTCTATAATTAACAATTTTGATTGACAGTTATAGATTTTTTTTTAAATCCTCAAATGTCAAAGTGTGACCGTATGTTTTGTGTTGCACCATGAGACAGATAATAGTTTTTTGTATTTAAATTGGTGATTTTAGTTATAAACTTGTTTTTGTCTCATAAATTTTATTAAACTGCACCTTGCAAAATTGAAATAGTCTGTCTTTTTTTACGTTTCCAGTAGATTCTATCAAAAAACATATTAGGGCCGGGGTCAAATATTTGGCCTCTAGGCTGCTGTTTGCCCTTTAGGACCATAATGAAATGTCCCATGACAGAGGCCTAAGAACCATATACAGAATGAAGTTTGGTACATTTATCACACCACCGGACATCTTTATTTATATTCAACAAAATACAACAGAAAAAAATGTGTTAATTATTCCAATGAAGATGAATTACAACCTGTAACAACTGCAAAGCTTCCTACAACACCTGCTCATGTGTTACAAAACAAACAAAGTGCAATAGCAGCTACGTAAAGGGTTTTTAAGTTTAAAAAAATATCATGCACTTCCACAAGTTGTGATGCCGTGCCACTTTCAAAAGCGATTCAAAAGCTTGAGTAACATATAGTATATTTTGGTGAACTAGAGTCAGGATTGTGAACTGGAATGGCTTCCTGAACCCTGTGTCCATTTTTCCCTGACACACCTTCAGATGGGATGATACACTAACAACACTCAACCAGGGACAGTGTAAAACTCGCCTCAGTGGCTGGGACTGTGCAGCTTGCTCACAGGCCACAGGACAGCCCCCTAGAAGCCGGCTTTTTCGCCCCGCCTGCCTGTCTGTCACTCTGTTTCTCCCGGGCTCAGAGGCTCACTTTATTGTCTCTGTCAGTTGTGAGCCAGTGGTTTGCCTCCACTCACTGTCACCCCTCTGTCAGGCCCTGACCGATAAAGCTTGCACCAGTGCCAATCTCCCTTCTTCGCCTCCGTCGGCTGTTCCTGGACTCCATTCCACCACTAATTAGCTCTTCAGAGATTTCTCTTCATGGAGGCAGGGGGCTGGTGGTGAAGGGTAGGGGGCTTGAGGGGCGGGTAGGGCTAAGGAGGGAAGAGGCAGAAGGATGGAGTGAAGAGTGTGTTCGTGTGTGTGTGTGTGTGCGTGTATGTGTTTGTGTGTGTCTGTGGTGGGGGGTGACTCTTATTGGATATCATGGTTCAAATGATAGTCCTCTGATTCAGACCAACAGACCTACAGAGTCCAACACCTAGATCGATAGATAGATAGATAGATAGATGGATAGATAGATGGATAGATAGATAGATAGATGGAGGAGGGTTAGTGTTACGGATGGATGGATGGATGGACAGATGGATGGATACATACTGTATACAGTCCAGCCTGTCTTGTGGCTTTGGTCAAATCGGAGGTGATGCGCTGAGGTGTCTCACTAATGTCCTGCCTCTGCTGGGCCAACATAACCACTGCAAGTCCTCAGGTGATTAACATGTTGGCAGGGGTTCCTACATGAAAAGACCCCTGTTTCTTTGTCTTCTGGTGTGTAAATATTGTGCTAGCGGAATATGAAAGTAGTGCAACTATAAGGTACAAAAACATAGGGAAAAAAGATCAAGAGTGGGTCTCACATCAAGGAGGACCCTGAGGATGTCTTTGTTGTCAACTTCAGAAGGGGGAAGAGAGCAGCAGAGGAGGAAACTGGCAGAAGGGGGAAAGATGCCAGAGAGAGCTCAAAGGATTCGGTCTGGGCAAGGTGATCGGTATTCCTCGGCAGTCTGCCTTCTGGCTCAGATCAGTGGGAGTAAGCTGGCAGCCAAGCCAGAGGGCATAACAGCACAAACACACCTTCAGCACTACACTGCTAGAGGCTCGGCTTCACAATCTGGTGGGGCGGGAGTTGAAGGGGAGAGGCAGAGGGGAGAGCAGGAGAAAATAAATACACTGTAATTATCTTCAAAATCATCAACCGCTGACATCCATTGTAAATATGTGCATGTGCGTATGTGCTCAACGCATCAGCCACTGTTGTGTCAAAACAATAGCTCACCCGATGGGATTTAACGGTGGAGGCACTGAGGTCACCACTCAGGCAGACTGGTCCTCGGGCCAGTCGATGTTGTATCTACTCACATCACTGCCTCACTCTTGGATGACGCCCAAAATACCCTGCATGTGTGTGACGAGGGGAGCGACGCCAATCCTCTTCAAGGACTTCCTGCCTCCATGCTGGGACACGAGCCCGACACACTCCTTGCACTAGACACCTACATGGCCCTCGCTGATGTTCCGTTACAGCTCTGACTAAAGGTCTAAACAGGTACCTGATGGGTGGGCAGAGCTGGGCAGGGCGCACCAATAAAGTGTTTGTGCACACACAACGTGTTGTGACAGGTACCAGATGTCCTGGCAAAGGCCAGCTGTCTCCAGGGCCGTGCACTTCCCACACACACATGCTGCACACACACAATGCGCTGGCCCTAAAACAAATTCCATGCAGTGTGTGTCCCTCAGCACCCGTGGTCTGGCTCATGAATGGATTGTCCACTCTGCTGTCACACTAATACCCTGCAACACACATTTAGCTTCAAACCCAAGCAGAACAAAGTATTTTGAAGGTTTGGTCAACCTCATGATGAAAAAACAAATTCCCTTGAAGTCGATAACAATGTTTTATTACCTCACACCATATGTGACACCCTGACATGAACACCACAGAGCATCTTCTCTGTAATACAGACATGACCCAATCACAAAAGTCAGCTCTGATAACTCTCACACTCCTGGAGATGCCTTCACCTCCTCCTGGCGTCAGGTGTAAAGGCAGTAAACCATTAGAAGGAATTATTTGTTTTAGTGACATTTTCATCCACTGTTTGTGTCCACACCTTGGTCGTGTCGTCTAATAAGTGAATGAACATGCTTGAAAAGTAAAAATGGTCTTTGAGAAAAAAAATTTGAGTTCTTTAAATGCACTTTTCTTCTAATAAAAAAAACTTCATGTGACTTAATAATGCTCTTACTTTTTCAAAGTTTCTTCAAGTTGACGTAGTCTCTGTTTGTTCTACATCGAGTCAGTTCATTATCCCTGCAAGCATGCAACACATTGATTATTCTGAATAACAAATGTCAGTTCATTATAAGCAGAACCTTTTCTGCACTAACAATACAAAACAGAGGTCTTTTATATACATATATACAGACTTTTTAACTTGTGTTATGGATTTGGCCACAGCTGTAAAAGAAATGTGTTTGAATAAATGTTAAATTCTAAAACAATTTATAAATCTCATCTTTCAATATTTATCCCAACTATAATTACACACTCCATGAAGTTAGACCTTGAGTTTCTGTGTCGAAGCTAATTTATGAGACATGACTGCATTTTTAATGTGTAAAATCCAATTCGCATTTAATGATGAATAATCTTTTATTAT